TTCAGACCGACTATGGGCAGATATAACTAATAGTTTAAGGCCCGTATTACAGAAAGATTCTCAATGATTGATCTAATCTTAAGCATAGTAAGAAAGGGTTGTCGCTATAATTATATATAGCACATAGCGGCATCTCTTTCTAATTGTACTCAAGTTAAGATCAACAATTAGTTGCCATTCTGTAATACGGGCCTAAGTGCTGTTGGTGGTGTCAACACGACAACAGACAAGTGGAAAAAGTAAGTACCTATTGAACAGTTTTGGAATGACTGGTTTGATGGAACAATATTTGATAGAAATCCTATATAACTCATTTATATGGTAAGTACATATTCATGACTGACCTATATCAATTTATTTTAATTATTCAATAAAGGTGTAAGTGGATTGGAAGTCGAAAACCAAGAAAAAAGGGCCGATAATTAGGAATCATGCAAAAGGGACCAGCAGCCGGCAAACCTTGTCGGCTCTTGATGAATGAATGATTATTTTGTTTTCTCTCACAAAGTCACAAAGTAACATTAGAATTAGAAAAATGGTATTGAATTACAATAACAGTAAAAACAATGCAGTTCTTTGAGAGAGCTGGAGATTGCATAAGGTTACAAAACCTGTGTTACGACCCCCAGGCTCAAAACCTCTTAAAACCCGTTTGCTTGCTAGAGATTCTTTTGCATAATAAAATTTTTTTTTTGATGAAAGGGTGCTGGCAATTATGTTACTGTAAGACTGCTTCTTGATTTTTTTGAAGAGAAAACTTATTTAGCTGCGTTGAACATTTTTTTTGTAATGGGTAAAAACTGTTAAACTCGCGTCAGGACACGTGGCCTCGTCACGTCACTCCTGTGCCCCTAGCATGAACCATTATCGAATTTGAATAGTTAGCAAACCGAAATGTCAATGTCAAATATTGTATGGAAACTTGAACAGCAGCGGCACAAAGTCCGTAAAAAGAACTAAAAAATCAGTAACCATTTGACAATGAGATTTCGGACTCGCAAATGATACGAATTCGATATTGGTTCGTGCCAGGGGTACTGACGTCCTGATTCTTCATTTACACTTTTATAATATACATACACTCTAACATACACAACTCAATCAACGCAACTCACGCGCCATCGAATATTTATTCCTCAGAGTCTAGAGCAGTCTCAAACTTTTAGAATTTACGCAGATTGAAGCTTCATCATCTTATAAATGTGCGACTTCCATAATGATACAGAGGAAGCTCTTGCTATTAGATGCTACTTGCTTGAGAGTCTCGAAAATTGTAACAACCCGTTGCCTGTGAAACCTGATCTAACAGTTCTTACATTTAATTTATGAAGCCTGCGTTGTAACTTTGACAGTTTTGTGGTCGCCTTGACTCGTCTTAAGACTAAACCTGATGTGGTGAATGCTGGCTTGGTATAGACCCTATAATTCCACAGTTGCAGGGATATATGTCTTTCCACATTAAAAATAACACTAACCAAAATGGGGGCATTACCGTTTATGTGAAGGATTCCTAGAGTACCATAGTTCAGGAGCCCATTTTCTAAGAATGCAATTGTTTAATACTCCATATTTATAATGAAATTACCATTTTAGGTATATACAGGTCACCATCTTTTAGAAACGTTAACAACTTTTTGGACTATTTAGACGATTCCTTGTCTAATATAAACTAAAATCACACAATAGTGCTCGCAGGGGATATAAACATTGACATCACTTGTGATTCTGTCAACGAACACTGTTCAGACTACCTTTGCCTGTTAGCGAGCCACCAACTTATTCCTGCAATCACTGAGCCAACCAGAGGTACAGTTTGCTTGGACTACATCTTTGTCAGTGGAACTTCTTCTGCCACAGGTGTGATTTGTCAAACTGACATTACCGACCACTACATGAGTATGCTATTTGCTACTACAGAGAGCGGAAGGCGAGTTGCATATAAAACTCGTACAAGGCTTTGGATGAATTGTGACGGCATTGTTCAGGATTTACAGTCCGCTAACTGGAAACTTATACTTGAGTCAGCTCAACCCGATATCGCGGCCGACGACCTCAACTCAATCCTGGTAGCTGCAATCGAGAGAAATACTAATTACATAAGTGTTAAGAGATCTCAGAGAGTTTTGAAGCCGTGGATCACCCTGGGCTGATAAGATGCGAGAGGAATCGTGACCGGCTCCACCTAAAAGCGAAGAAAAACCCAAATGACGTGGTTATTTCAGATCACTCACAAACGTTATAAAAACTTTTTATGCTCTCTTCAACGGAAACTCAAAACTCAATATGAGAACGCGCAACTACAAGAACATAGCAAAAACCCAAAAAAGTTATGGAAAACGCTTAAGAACATATGTAATCTATCGCATAAAAACTGTGACGCTGCTGAATTGACCACCATTGAGAGGGATCCAGTTTCGTCTCTCAATGTTGGCTTAGCCGATGACACTTTAAATAGACTCGGAACTTCTGAAAGAATCTTGGCAACAGGTTACAAACCGAGTAACTCTTGCAAAGATTCCATCTTTTTGCAACCAACTGACCCTCACGAAGTTAACGCTTTGATCGATGGCCTCAGGAGCGACAGTGCCCCTGGCTTTGACGGCTGTACTCCTGCACTATTGAAACGCATTAAACACATGGTAATACAACCCTTAACTCACATCTTTCCTCACTGCTGGAAGCTAGCAATTGTATACACAACCACCATGCACAAAGACGGTGATAAAATTTCTCCCAAAAATTACAGGCCTATTTTATTGCTAAATATATTCTCAAAGATCTTGGAGAAAATTGTTAACAAGCATCTTACAACATTCCTTGAATCGAAGAATTTGCTTTCCAATAATCAATTTGGATTCAGGAGAGGTAGGTCAACCAAGGATGCGGTTATCGTCGGCCCTGGGCCTTTGACACCGTGTCAATTCTGATTCTACTGCGAAAATTGGAGGTCAGGGGAATAAGAGGTACGGCCTTGGAGTGGTTCCGTAGTTACTTGTCGGGTTGTCGTCAGTGCGTGAGGGTTGGTTCGAACATGAGCTCTCAGTTGAATTTGTGTGTTGGAGTCCCACAAGGCAGCATTCTTGGACCCACGTTGTTTTGCATCTACATGAACGACATACTGGAACTGTCTTCTATGAAAGCTGATGTAATCTGTTACGCGGACGACACAGCTGTCATCTTTCATGATAAGTCATGGGACAGTGTTCTCAAAACCGCTGAACATGGCATGGCGATTGTTTGGAGATAGTTGAATGAGAACCTTCTGTCACTTAACCACATGAAAACAAAATTAATTGCTTTTCACAAAACGGACGCATCTAAACCATCAGGTACTACTTTGACAGTATATTCTTGTGATTTGCGTCCGAATATCTGTAACTGCATCAACATATGTAGAGTGGACACCATTAAATATCTATGGGTAATCGTTGATGAAAAACTTAATTTCAAGAAACACCTGTCATGGCTATCTGGTAGGGTTAGAAGAAGTATACACTTCATGAAAGAGCTTCGACACAGCGCAACTAAGGAGACTATGCTTCTGGTATATAAAGCACTTACTCAATCCTTAATTTGCTACTGCTGTCTGGTCTGGGGTGGAGCTAATAAAACAAGCATGATCCTAGTCGAACGATCTCAGCGCGCTGTATTAAAAGTAATGTTACACAAACCATTTAGGTATCCCACCGATGAAAGAGTGCAGCTTGTTGAGGGTTCGTCAGATCTTTATTGTAAAATCGATACTTGCTATGCATGGAAAAGTGTCTGCATCACCTGAGTATAAAACTCTTTGCCTTAGACGCAACTTTTGGATTCCAATGCCTATCACACATACGTCATTCATCCAACGCCATTCCACATTTCTTCTTCCTTTCATTAACAACAAGATTTGTCGCTTCTTTGCTAATCTTCACCTTCAGTCTATAATTTGTGTCAAAAGGATGGTTTCCTCTTGGCTCATCGATCTGTCATATCAGGAAACAGAGGACATAATCAGGCCTGTAAGTTGACTACTTTCTTAACTATGGGTGGGTTGAAAATTATGACAGGCACACACCCATGCGCGCATACACATACACTCACACACACACATCCACACTCGCACACACACATTCACATTCGCACACACAGAGACTCACACTCACATATACACACATAGAGTAATTATAATTCGAGGATTTTTTATTAAATATATACCTATCACCTTCAGTAAAAATGTTTAAAGTTACTTTAATAATTTTACTATGGTCATATTTTTTTTTGTCTTAATGTACCCGAACATTAATGTATTGCCGTAACTTCCTCACTCACAATGTTCACCTCCCGAGTTTTGTCAACATATTGTAATGCGAACCATTTAGAAAAACTGAAATGTTAGGTCTTTGCGTTACGAGCTCAGCTCAGTGCAAAAACCACTGTTTAATTGTAAGCTAAGTTAAAATTTTGTATTGATGAATAATTTTTTTTTTATTAGGTCACGTGTCCACGTGACCTAATCGAAAATTTGTAAGACGAAAACAATAAAATTGGGAAGGTTAGGTAATGTTAGGTTAGGTTTGCCTTGGTGTTCCGTTTAGCACCTCCTATGATTCGTAATGCAAACCAAGGCAATAATGATTCTTTATATGCCGTTTATATACTCGCAAATAGTATAACAAGTGTGATAACAGTTAGTTACTGGCTTTTAAGCATATCGTTCAGAATTTCTGGGTATAATTTACACAGGAAGTAAAGCAGCTGTGAAAATTGATAAATTACATTAAAAACATTATGAGTAAATATTTGTAATTCAATACTAATAGTGATTTATATAAGTAGAATCCTCATTCTTTCATTAATACCTACTTATTTGTGAATTAGTTATCAACCTAATTAAACGGCGTGGTTTGGTACTAAAATTGTAACAAGTATAATAGTCGTAATATTCAAAGCAGACATCGTTTCACAATGTTAAGCAAAATTATTTTTTACGTTTCAGGTGTCGCCTGTATACACACAAGATGACGGTGGTGACTAATCCTGCGCGCTCCAACTCGAAGGATGAGATCGAATCCAGGCGCAACAGCGAGCTTGGTGGTGGCGCCGGCGGTGAATACCATGGTCTAGAACTCGACAAAAACGCCCGCTTGTATGATGATGAGAAACAAAGCGACATTGTATTCGTCGCCGGTATCAACGGCGACACCTGGCGCTATCCCGGCCACTGCCGCGTGCTCGCCGCCACCAGTCCAGTTTTTGCTGCGCTCCTATCTGCTAAAACCGACGTAATAGTCGTCGACTACGTGGATCGCCGTGGCTTCGAACAGCTCCTCCGATACCACTACTGCGAGCCCACGCAGCTCAACTCCGTCGCTACGGCACGGTGTGCCCTAGATGCTGCATACAAGTTCCTGTGTGCGCCACTAGCGGAACGATGTGCTCGACGTCTCGACGAGATATTGGATGCAGGCGTCGAGTTAGAAATTCTGCGAGATTTACGTTTCTTATGCGCGAGACTTCCCGGAGCTACATCCGCACCACCTCTGCCTGCTCTATATGATGATGAAGCAGCACGGTCTCTGGCGCAATGTTCACGGTGGTGTGACTCGTTGGCCCACAATGCTTTACTCGTGTTAGACGATAACGCTGATGCTGTTCTTACCGATGAACGACTTCAAGAACTCACTTATGAGGATCTTGCACTCATAGTTAAACGTGACACTCTACGGGTATCCAATGAGCTCGTCTTAGCAGAAGCGTTATCCAGCTGGGCAACGGCCGCCTGCAAACGTACTAAAAGGGAACTGACTTCTACCAATAAAAGAGCAGCTCTAGGAGATCTCGCGTATTGTCCAAGATACTTGTTGCTCTCTGGGGAAGAGTTAGATCGCTCTTTGGGCTTGGAGCTGCTGGAGCCTATGGATCGTGCTTTAGTTGTAGCAAGGGCGTGGAAATTATCAGCACCTGTGCCAGTGGGCACTGAACAAGAGGGTTTGTTGCGCCGCTGGGCACGTCCGCGATCGACTGAGCCAGCTGCACTCCCGGTTCACTTGAGCTCAAGATCCGAACCAGCTCCCGTGGACGCTCAGCCGAGTAAACTATGCGTTTGGCGCCCGAAAAGGCCCAAACAGTCTAGCTTTAATCCTGACGACAAGAATAACAAACAGGGTTCCTGCGCATGCTTCTGGGACGGCCTACTGCGAGCGTTCATCTGCCTATTCGACTGAGATAGGGCACCCACGTCTTATGAATAAAAATACATGAGATGGTAAGATTTTTCAAGCTGTAATACACATCACGCTGGGTTCACTACAGAAGTTACTACAGATAGTAATTACTATAATATGAATAAGATTCTTAAAATGTTATGGTTACTTGAAGAAAATGACCAGTGAGTGGTTGCTATTAAATACTTTCTGTGTGTGATCTTCTAGTAAAAAATCATGTGTAAGCCACCAAGAAACTGAAAAGTGTTTTTATAAAACTATACTTATGAAAAAGAAGACGTTAGTATACTTACAAGTGCGGAACTTTAGGGAAATTGGAGCAAATGATGAAAAGTTATGGGAAGAATATCCTTCTTTTGTATTTTTTACGAACTGAAAACTGTTATACTTATAAAAGTACAATAATAATATTAACTACTCATTAATTATTTTAATTAAATTACTCCAACCTTCTTTTAAAGGTTACGTTAGCTTTTCTGTCCACGTTTGTAGCAAAATTTTAGGGAAATTACAATTATATTTTTATTAAAGTTAGCGGCTAAAAGTTGTTTCATTGCATCATGTTGTTGAGACCGGTTTTTCGAAGTGACAAACTGAAATATACCAATTATTATTATTGAGGTGCAGCTCAGCTGCAATGTAGTTTACTTAGGTACATGTATCATTGTGCAGTTAGGCACTTTTTTATTATTATTATTGATAGGTCCGACAAATGACTCCACCCCACCTGATGTTAAGTGATGGTGAAGTTCAGACGTGAAGATAGCTGGTACAGCAGTTCTACCTGCCACACCAGCCATCCTCACCTTGCTGGCCTGCATGTTGCTTCTTCACGCCTCTTTTAAAGGATCCCAGGTTGTAAGAACGAGGGAACACGTGAGCAGGCAGAGCATTCCATTTACGGATAGTGCGACAAAGAAATGAGTCACCAAATTTCTTTGTACGCGTTGGAATTGTGGCCACAGTTAGGCGGTGACACCGAAGGCCAGCGTGCGTGGTCCTCTGAAGGAAAGGGGAAGGTGGAATAAGAGAGAATAACTCTTCAGAACACTCGCCGTGGTACAGACGATACAGATGGATCGTAAATGTTGTGATATCTATGTTTAATCGATCTGAACTTTAGTTATTTTGTATTGTATTATTGTAAGGTGCTTTGTGAGATAATTATTACATATCAAATTGTACGATACTTTGTATTTAGAAACAATTTATTTACTTGAAAACGAATTGCGAATTATTGGTGTACAAAATATTGTTTACCTAGTTTTTATTTTAGGAAGAATTTATTGCATTTACTGTTTTGCATTAAGCGATTGTGAATGATTCTATTTGTTGTTACTTAGTTACCATTTTTGTTATTAAATAATTTAGTTGATACCTCCATTATTTCCCTAGTCGTATTGTAAGTACATATTTATGACGTCAATAAATAAGAAATCCTTTAGAATTAGAGTATTTTTAATGGCGCTTTTAATATTGCCTTTTGCCTTCGAAATTTTAATGGTGCATCTACTAATGAACTTTAACTATTCAATTCAGTTTAAACGGATCGTGCCATATATATATACTTCATTAATTACATCTTGTCGGTTCTTAAAATATTCAATTGTACTTTTTCACTATTATTATATTAAAGAAACATAAAGAACCAAAGGACTTTCATATTCTAATAGCTCAAGCATAAAATGATATAGTAACTTATTCGGTTTTTTTATGTGATTATGAAACGTATTTGTAACGTTGTGAACGAGAAAATCATATGAAATATACGTAGGTATGACCATTTATAAAATCTCTAGTTAAACACCTGTGTCTGTTAACTTAGATATCAGTTATGTTTCCAAATGTTGAATGTCAAAATATTAATTGATGTGTTCAGCTTTGAGCTGTGTAAAATTTATAATACACATAATTATACGAGCCCGAGAAATATTATAAAATATGTAATAAAATGTTCCAATTACTTGTGTTTTTCATTTTCACACAAAACTCGAAAGCTGTTTCCTGGTTGAAAATTAATGGAAATATTTTCATGCCGTAAAGTTCTAGGGAGCAACTGTTAAATTTAATAATATAATAATACTTGTTTGTCTTACTATCTGGGCTGTGTTAGGAATATTAGTTTGAGATCAGTAAGGGAATGGGATGAGACAACATAGGATGAACAGGGAACAACCGTATTTAACAGAATAGAACCATACTTTTTAATAACCAGACATCAGTTTATTTTGGAATAACATGCCCTGGTAAAGTAAACTTCATGCTAATGTTGTTGAATTTAAGTACTGAATAATTAAGTATACGAAATTACGTCATTTTCAAAAATTGGATCTTGTTGATGTGATCTGAAGGAGCTTTTCCATGATCGCAGCGTGTAAGCATCACTTCCTGTGATGTTAGCGTCCAATCTTCTGGACTATGTCTGACAACGCATTTTCAGTCATTGAAATATTCTTTCTCAAACTTGTTACAGTGTCCTTTAATTCCAACATCAGATTAATTTTAGAGTCGATCTTTTAGAACTTCTTTAAAATGGTGAGGCGCGCCTTCTGCGTTTGTTCCATTTGTTTGTTGATTCTACAAGCTATTTCGTTTTGTAGCTTCTTAAACTTTCTGTCAAAGGCAGAATCTTCTCTGCTATCTCGCCGCTTCTTCTCACCAGTGTTAGTGGACAGGGTTTGGTATTTGTTACCAGAACTCCGTGATGTGCAGCAACTCTTGTGATATATTTGCGACATGATTTCTGAGAAACTCGGTAACAAAAGAGCCAAGAACAAAAATTTTAACTTAATTTTGAGAAAATTTGAGCCATTTTCTCAAAAATTAAACATATTGGGTAAATTTAAATATTAAAATGCTGCACTTGCTTTATGATTTTGAAGGGGACGTCCATAAAATTTTAGTGCCCCTGAACTTTAACAACTTTAAATTGAGAATGCTTGACAGTGCTCCAAATGTGCCGTGGAGCCCCGGCGAGGCCGGGAGGCTGCTGGGTACAGAGACGTGGAAGATTCCCTAAACGGGGACCCCGCGGCTTCGCATTAAGTAGCGTAGAGGGTATTCGCAGGGATTTTTAGCAGATATTATACCATAAAACGACCGTAAGAGTTACGGGCAACTCACTCGGCAGCCACTGCGAGGGCTCGAAAGGCTTGCGGGAGCCAGGTGTGAGGTACCGTTCGGCGGTGTGCCTCTTAACGGCGCCGTCGTCTGTAAATAGAAGTTTTGCGTGCCTTAAAAAAAAGGCGGTGTTTAAGATATCAAATACATACATACCTAGATGTATGCATAAACGTTAGCAAACCATTTAGCTCAGAAAAGCACTTTAATAAGTCTAAGTTTAATCACTAACCACAAATAATATAATCTCATTATATACCGTTTATTTGTGCAAAATCATATAACGAGCAATTAGTAACAAAATTATACTGGGATGTCTACTGTCGTCGAATCGTAAGCGCCTCATTAAAACTGTAATGTTTCGGAAACGATCCAACTTTTGCAATTGGCAAAAGGGAAGCTTAGAGGTCTATTAGAAGTATCTCATGGTATGCACACCGAAAATTGCTGCTAACCGACATTAATACGACCGTAAAAGAAAAAAGAAACATTCTTTACCATGTAAAGAACTTACAGTCAGTTCTGTGACTTGTTAAGTACTTTGAATAACTATCTTGGAAACTATCAATAACTTCACTTCTTGGATGGTGTCGTTTCGAGAAATCGAGCCGTGATACTTTCATCGTAATGTTTATTTGGTTATTTTTAAATATTATTGTAAAGGGAGAAATTGTTGTAATATGTAATAGACTTTAAATGTCGTTTCTTTGTTTTCAGAGCACCACATCTGTTTAATTGCTTTTACAATTCCCATTAAAGATATTGACTTAAAACCACATTAAGTTTTTAACTGAAACTAATATTAATGCATTGGATAGAGAGAAACATTGGTTTATTTATAAGTTCAAGTTCAAGCAAGGTCGCGAGAAGCAGCTGTATGCGAGCAGCGCAAGACCGATCAGTAGACCTATTCGCTACAGGTCGCACGTAACTCTGGCGTTGAACAAAACGCGGAGGGGATAGCTGCGCATGAGCACTACTGGAGAGACCAATCGGCGCAACGCACGCCCACTCTCGTTTCCCTCCAAGACATCTTAATTTTTTACTTCTGCGCGATAACGGTCAGCGCTAGAGTTTCGTGCCGCGACTTATAACTGCTTTTACAGATGGAAGTGATAATCACCGATCTATTTAGTGATCCACTACTGCTTTATTATAACGCTACTAAGATACTTCTTCTGAAAAGCATAGATGGATAAACAATTTTCATTTTAGTTACACACTGTAAATGTCAAAAAAGTTTGCGAATTGAACTGCCGGCCGTTCGGAATTCCCTGGGCCTATCTCCGGAGGCAGTGGTCCATAAGAAAATGAGTAAATCTAAGCTTCTTACACCCTGAAAAAGTTTTATTAATATAATGTAGTTTGTCACACATCAGGCTTAACGTAAAATAACGTACCTAATACTTAGCTATTAAATATTCAACGTGCTTGAGGCATTTATTTGTTTCACATATATTTACATTTAAATAACAAAAACTTAAAAACTACATGATTACTAAAATTTATGCCGCTAGGCTCTAGGACCGCTGGCACTTTGACTGCGACAAGAGCTCTGCGGATGACGTCATTGATGCAGGAGTGGCGGGAGACTCGACCAGCGCTCATTTGGCATGAGAGACCATGGTGTCCCAACTCACCGACGCGAGTTCCGCTATTAAATTAAATATATTTTTCTTTACCACTTTATAATATTTAAAAGTTAGTGTAAAAAAACGGTGATTTAAGGCTTTTTGATTATATATCTTAAAAGCTGTTGTATTGTGTACATGCAGTAAACTCATTCTCCCTTTCTAGTGTTCAAGGAACCCGCTTCACGAAATTACAAGCAAGCGGATCAAGGTGTGAACTTCCCTCTTTGAAGTCAACTTACAATGTTACAAAGGTACCTACTGTGTGCTTTCCACAATCTTTTCTCATAATAATATACGGATTGAATTCATGCACTTTATTTTACTTTTTATTATTTAAACGAGAATTTGAGAGAGGTAGGGCCCGTCTGAGGAAGTAAATACCTTATAGTAAAGTAATTACCTTATAGAAGACCACAGTAAAATAACACATGGCTTTGGTGGTATTGTGTTTTTAGCAGTGAGTTAGGTTCCAGGGCTTCATGGGGTAGGGGATTTGGGAGGGGGTTGGTGAAAATGCGGGTGATATTTTTGGTATCACAGGCGTCTATTGGCCATACGCTTGCCACCCATTTAACATAAAAAACGAAGGGTAACATTTCTAATATCATCGCTGAGATTTATTTAATACATTAGTAGCTATTTGTATTTTGGAACATCTATACATCTGTACATATAAAAAAAATTTGGAGTGTCTTTTTGTAATATTAAAATAACCGCTTTTTACTACATGCATAAGATTATACATTTTTGGTACGTAAACCAAAAAACATTTTTTTTAATTTTTGTTTGTCTGTTTGTTCTAGCTAATCTATTGACGGTACTTTTATTGGCAGGTAGCTGATGTAATAAGGAGTAACTTAGGCTACTTTTATTTTTTCTAAAATCTTTTATTTTAGAAAAAAAGCCGCTAGATTTTCATAAAACTTAACAATAACCTCCTAAAAGATGGTATTTTGCGGTAAATTGCGCTTTTTTCGAATGACATTATTATTTTTTTCTCTTTATTAGGGTAAACAAACAATGATACAATATTGTTGCATTATAGATTAATACTATCATTGTACTAATTGCATTATCCACTACATTTACCACAGAGTTTCTAACAGTAATTAGCATTGGGAGACTGTATACATATAACTTAAATTTACTATTAATTTACTTTATTTGCCTATTATACTTAAATATGTAAATACATACTCTATAATACAATTTCTGATTTATTTACTGAAAAATTTCAAGTATTTTTCTCTTAAACGAAGTAACAGTGATCGCAAAAATGTCAATGTCATTAAATTTGTCGTTGTAAGTCTGGGCAAGCCGATACAAGGGAGATCGTTTGCCTGCATTTGTACGACATTTTGGCAATGAGAAAGACCTACATGGGGTACGACAATGTGATCTAGAAGGAACTCTGTAAGATATTATATCTATCAGTGGTATGCAGTCGTATCTATTGTGACATAAGTCATACAATAATGACATTTCAAGCGGAAGTCGTCTTTGTTGAAGGGTAGGAAGTTCATACCTACAAAGCAGCTGCTCGTTGGGTAAGCGACTGTGGTGGAATTTATAATGTACACATCATAAATTTTTTTTGGATGGATTCAAGTGCCTTTTTGTATTTATCATAGAAAGGATTCCAGATGGGTACTGCATACTCTATTTGGGAGCGAATTAATGAATTATATAAATAAATGTATGTGGAAACTCGCGCGAATTTATTACTGGATCGCATTATAAAGCCATACATCTTAAATGCTTTGGCTATGATGTTGTCAACATGTAGATCCAGATGAAACTTGCTATCTAAAGTTACCCCCAGATCTCTTACCGACTTAACAGACTCAAGATATTCATTACACAATTTATATGAATAATTAGTTATATTTTTCTTTTTAGTGAATGTGATTGTTTTGCATTTCATGATATTTAAATTCAGCTTATTTTCACAGCAATATATAGAGAGGCGATCTAAATTTTCTTGAAATCTAATATGGTCATCCTTGCTGTCAATTGTGTGATATATCTTAAGATCATCAGCATATAGCAGAAAATTACAAAAATTAAAACATTTATGGATATCGTTAATAAATAATATGAACAGCAAGGGCCCCAGTATAGATCCCTGTGGAACACCAGATGTTATCGGTACAGAGTCTGATTCATAACCTCGGATAACAACCTTTTGTGTGCGATTCGTAATATACGACTTGAACCAGCGCCACAAATCGCCGCGAATTCCATTGTAGGCTAATTTATCGAGCAAGATTTTATGATGCACCCTGTCAAAAGCCTTTTGGAAATCGGTGTATACACTGTCGATTTGTTTAGTGTTATCTAAACCATCAAACAGATAAGATGTAAAGACGAGCAAGTTAGTATTTGTAGAACGACGTTGTACAAAACCGTGCTGTTGTTCGATAATGTAATTATGTGTAGCAGGATATATACGATTATGCACAAGTCTCTCAAAAAGCTTAGAAAGAGTGGGTAAAATTGATATAGGACGGTAATTCGATACATTTGATTTATCCCCATTTTTGAAAACGGGGACAATTCGAACGCGTTTCGCACACTTGGGAATGTGCCTTCATGCAAACACACATTATATATATGGTGAAGTGGATTATATATGGTTTTAGAAGTTAGTTTAAAGAATATAGGGGGAATATTATCCAAGCCGGGGCCTTTAGAAATATCTAACCTGTTAAGCTCATTTAGTACTTCTTCGGCTGATAGTTTCACTTGGTGAATTATAAGGCTTGAGTCAGAATTAGGATCAGAAATGTTATGAATATCATACTCATTTATGTTATCTCGCGGTTCAAAAACCGATTGGAAAAAAGAAGAAAACAAATGCGGTATTATTTCTGGATTATTTGTAGTATGGTCTTTGTACGACATTGAACTTGGAATCCCTGCATTTTTGTTTAAGTTGTGAACGTAAGACCAAAAGTATTTGATATTGTCATGAATGCTTTTTTCAACATTATCCATATATTTTTTATAACATTTAGAGGATTATTTACGAAAACGATCTCTAAACATGGAAAAAGCGGCGTAATCACTAATATTTCTAATTTTTTTTCATTTAATCCACGCTTTATTTTTGTCTCTAAACATATGAATCAATGCCTTTGATAACCACCGAGGATGGTGTTGAGACCTGGTAGATTTTTGCGGTACATGTTTATTTATAATACAATATATATTTTCATAAAATTCAGAGACAATATTTTCGACGCCTCCTTTGTACAGTAATTTATTCCAATCCATTTTCTCCATGTCTTTATTTATTAAGTTGTAATCCGCTTTATAGAAATCATATGAATATATCCTCTTCATGGGCATTGTGGACAATCTAGCATTAACAGGTACCAGTGCAGATAGCGGCGGGTGATTGTCATCGGGTTGAACCAGAGGAGAAGCTGCGACACATATCCTACAACCATTTATGTTAGTAATAAATAAATCAAGTATTCTATTCTTAGAATTCTTGTATTTATTCAACTGTAAACAGCTAAAAAGGGATAAAAAGTTAATTATGCATTTATTCGCATCGCTATAATTGCTGCTCATCACTGGTTCTGTATATGTTACACAGTCGCGCCACTCTAATGTAGGCAGATTGTAGTCACCCACTACAATAAACTCGTTCACACTAGGTGATTGCAATATGTTGGTAAGAAAATCTAAATGGGAAATATATATGTCATTGCTTAAACCCGGCGGTATATACACGGCACTAGCTATGCATCGATAGTTCCGTGATTTTATTTCAATAAGAACATGATCAACCAGCGGTGAGGCGGCTGCGTGAAATGTGGCAATAGGTACAGCCTGTAGCCCTCGCAAGGCTGCCACGAGAACCCCCCACCGTCCCGCCTCCCGCTACCACAACGATCCCTATCGTGTCTAAATACCTGGTACCTAGCATCCACAATTTGACTATCATTTATATCACAATGCAACCAGGTTTCAGTTAAGATAATCAAATCATAGCTGTGAGATAAGATATTCATATACAACGAATGTAGCTTAGTTCTTAGTCCCCTGCAGTTTTGATAGAAAACTGATAATGTTTGTTTATTATCCAATAAATAAATGATTAAAAATATGATTAAAGTGTCCATATAATAAAATTAAGTATATGAGAATAAATATGTTATGATGAATGAAGGTTATAATAATACATGCAAACAAAATTCGAAGGGAATTATTATTTATTATTTTTAGGTTATAATACATAGTTATCCCTATTAATATAATTTTACATTCATAGTTATATTGCACCCATCCGGAATCACATACCTTTCTCTTCTTATTAATTCCTGGTAAACAAAGATTTAAATTAGATACAAAACCTCTTTTTATTATATAAATCCCACCATATGGCCACTGAACAACATACCTTACCCCTCGTACATAACTTACATTATACTGTGCTGATAAATATCTGTTTGCATAATTACTGCTGAAAAATAATAACAAAATGATTATGTATATATAAATTGACTTTTTAGAAGTATATAAACAAATGTTATGCCTGTTATTATTAAATAATTTTGCTAATGTCTTGGACACTTCGTACAACAATAACTGGCGAGGCAGCTTGTTTTCTAGCAAAAATATAAATATAAAAATAACACCGTGCTTAACCCATACGTATCTATAGTCCTTATTTTTAGCGACTTCACGACACTGGCAAAAGAAAATTTTATTATCCAACGTAAGATGTTCATTTATATATATAGGACTCGGCGACCCAGGTATAGATAGTATCTCAGAGTTGAGTTTCTTTTTTGCACTACATGCAGCTCTTATATTATCGCGAAGTATTCTGCTAGTAAGCTTGACCACGATGTTCTTGGGCTGTTTATTCTTGGGGTCAGCATATGGGACACGGTGCGCAGATACAATATCTGTAGCTTGTATAGGTTGGTTTATAACGTTGCCAAAACATTCCAATATACATACAAGACTTTCGTCACGGCGCGGCGTTCTTGCAAATTAAAAATTTCGATATTGCATTGTCGCGCTTGCTGTTCCATTTGAGATATTTTGTATTCCAATATACAAATTTGATTTTCCAGATTACAGTTACTCGTTACACTATTTTCAATTGATTTCAAACGGTTTTCATATGCATCCTGACGTTCCGAAGAAAAGTCCAATGATTTCTCAATTTCGACCAGTTTGTTATTGGTTTCTGCAAGTGTTTTATTAAGGCTTATATTGTCACTAGTTAGTTTTGTTAGTTTTACGTTAATCTCAGCCAGCGTTGGTGTGATCTTGGACAACTCGATTGTAATGGCCGCACTGACAGCCGTTGCCACACAGCTCGTAACTTTTTCGGTGATCATAGTGTTCCACAACTGCATCTGGTTATTGAATCTTGCTTCAAAATTAGATAAGCACTGCACAATTGAATATTCATCTTCTGGTTGCTTCCTCTTGCAGATATTTATTTGTACATCACCCTCACCACTTTTTGAAATATCAGGTTCTGATAAAAATTTATTTGGCGGAGTATGCTGCAGCGACATTTCAGATCAAATAATATCAACAAGTTAAAAGTCACAATAGCTAACATAAATAGGCACACGCCGAACTCAGCTTGTTTGTTCACTCAAAGACAACTAGTAACGTGACCGCTCTCAATGCTTTCCGAACGGCGACATTATCGCTTATATGACGGTCTCAATTTGTATTTTAACTTCCAACGTCTAAAATGGAGTGTCACCTGATAAAAAAACCTTCTGTGTTCATAAACACCCACGTATAACATATTAATGAAAGGCTTGTGCGCTCATGAATTATACGCATTCCAAAACCGTAGGTATCAATGTTTCATATAACCATCTACTATTAACCATTGTATCCCACGAATTACGCATGAATTTGTGATATCTATTCGATAATTGCAGGCTACTACTCAATTGGTATCGATATTACCACAGGATGGATATTACGATTAAATTCGATACACGTAACGATACTGCTTTATTATTAGGTATGTATGAAAGCAAGAGTGATAATGATATTAAAAATTAATGATTTTCTCATTTATTGATAATTTTATTTGTATTGATGAAACGCAAACAATGTTAAAAAAAACTGTTCTCGTAACATAATATTTTTAACGAACGAAAAACACAGAAGAACTTCTCAAGTCGACGCGTATATATTTTTTTATGCATGACCACGCATAACTTTTTCCAGAGTAGTCAGATTTTGATAATTATTTTTTTATTGGAAAATGGAAAGGGTATACTCCGAAGTAAGCCCCAAATAAATTTAGAAAAAAATCCTACCATAAGAGTGGGAAGTGATGTGATTGTTTGGTCACAGATTTTGATACTGTGATGTTTAATACATTAATTATAGCCACAAAATTATAAAAAATAAAATGTTTATAACAAAATTATTAAGCCGACGAAAAATCAAAAGAAAAAAAATATCATATATCATATATATCATAAATAAGATCTAAATAAGGGTGCTGGCCTCAGGGCCAGCACCCTTATTTACAGACAAATCTTTTAATTGTTTAAGTACGTCTTCCTCCAAAATGCTTATCGATGTCAAAGAGTAACCGGGATAGACGTTATCCTCTCTCAGAGTGCAACTATAAGTGCAAATATATTTATTGTGTCATTTTTATTGCACAGATCTATCAGACATGCATGATATTGACTCAAAATTAGTTTTAATATGACTAAAAGTATATCTTCGATATTTATAATGTAGATAAGTTAATTAAGGAAAATAGATTATTTCTTCAAATTTAAACCGTTCAAAAGTCTTTTATCTAAATTGATGACAACTTTTTCACTTTAGTTGAACTTGGTGGTATAATTAAATACTCGTAGTTCTCAACTATGAGGAGACGTAGTTATTGAGTCACTTAACAATTAATTCGTCTTAGTAAAAGCAAATTACAATAACTGCTCATAGAGCTTAAGTTAACTTAAGTTTCAGCTCACGCGATATTTCTCTTACACGGTCTCAGCATTAATAAATGAATAAGTTTAGTACGATGAATGAAGTTAAGTAAATATTCCAAGATACGTAATTCAATGTTAAAGAATAGGGCTAAGTGCGGGCCGGACTTGCAAACTAAGGGTTGATAGGTTTAACTCATAATTTAATCTATACTTATAATAAATCTGTAGAGATGTCAATTCTGTACATGAAATATATTTTTAAAATAACTATCAGGGGGTGATTAGTGATCGATACTGATGCCAAAAATGCAATCAGTAATTTTTTTGTCTGTCTGTCTGTCTGTGTGTATGTTCCTTATAGAAACAAAAACTACTAGACGGATTTTAACGAAACTTGGTACAATTATTCCTCATACTCCTGGACAGGTTATAGTATACTTTTCATCACGCTACAATCAGTAGGAGCAGAGTAGTGAAGGGAAATGTTGGGAAAACGGGAGAAGTTACTCCATTTTTTAAGCTTCCGTCGCGTGTGCAGCCTTAATGATTAAAGTTACATAAAAATCATGTATGACGGAAATATTCTTCATAAAATTTTCTACAAAATATCCCGCAACAGCATATGTCTATCTTTTATGGTTGACTCACAATAACACGTGTAACTCCCGATAGCTTAGCAGTTCGGAGCATTCTGATCATATTTGTTTACTCTTACGTTTATAATACTCGGTATAGAAACACCAAACTTATACATGAAATAAGCCATCGCGCCGTCGCACGTGAATACTGAATCATGCTATAAGGATTATTTTTGTGTAACGGTTGCCGCGCTCGACACGGGTCGCGGCAGCGGTAGGGTATCAAAGGTCCGAGAGCGAGCTGTCTAAATCTGTTTTCTGCGTCGCTCCCCCCCTGGGGAACGATCGCTTCCGATGAAGCCTTATAGGCCTTCCCGGCCAGAGGCAGCCCCTACGGGTGTTTTTTAGTCAGTACGAGTCTGACATAACCTTGCAGCCGGCTGTAGGGTATCCATGAGGATTTCTCATCTGCTCCCCCGCCTGGGAGACCGAAACCGTGCTTATCAGCGCGACTTTTAGTCTTTAAATAGTTTATTTGAATTTCTTTTGTTGTTATTTTGTAAAACAGGTAGTAGTTGTTTTGGTAGTGTTTAAATATTCGTTCAAATTAAAAATTATTAAGCGTAGGTACTTTTATTAATTAAAGTAGTTATAAGTATTTATTTTTAAGTGAAGGAGGTATAGGTAGATAGTATTGCACAGGCGTTTCAGCTTTATTTTCATTTCTTTTTTGTTGTGAGTTGTATATATTTCTGGTTATAATTCTATAAGAATATTTTAGTTCAAATAGTCACTTAGATTTTATGTGTAAGGTAGCTAAAGTTAGGACCACGTATTAGTTGTTTTGGTAGTGTTTAAATATTCGTTCAAAGTGTAATTTAATCATATAGGATGAATGTACGATGGCTCATCGAAAAGGAGTAGAAGCGGTAGACAGAACTTTAAGAGATATAAGACAAAATGATCGACCCATGGGCGGTATCACAGTTTTATTTTGTGGTGATTTGAGACAAACCTTAACGGTAATACCACGGGGAACCCGAGCTGCTGAGGTTAGGGCTTGCCTGAAAAGCTCTTATTTGTGGCGTGATATACAATCGGTGCATTTGACTATAAACATGCGAGTGAGAACTGCAGATAACCCGGATGATCGTGAATTTTCTGATATATTATTAAAGAAAATACCTTCACCAAAGATACCTATCCACTGCTACACCAAGGAAAACTTATTCTGACGCCTGAGTTATGTTGTATAGTGCAATCCCAACAACATCTTACATCGTCAGTTTACGGTGACGTAACAAATATATTAAATAAGAACAATTCTTGGCTATGCGAAAGGTCCATTTTAACTCCTCGCAATGACCAGGCATCTGAGATTAATAATAAAATACTGTCGAATATCCAGGGGGAAAGCAAAGTTTATAGTTCAATAAATAGAATGGCCGATGAACAAGAAGCCACTAATTACCCGATAGAATTTTTAAATTCTTTAAATATGCCCGTACTTCCTTCTCATGAAATATGTTTAAAAATTGGCATTCCGATTATTCTGCTCCGAAATTTAAGACCACCACAAATTTGCAATGGAACTCGGCTTAAAGTAACCCAGTTGCAACAAAATGTAATCGAGGCTCAAATTTTAATAGGTTGCGGTGCAGGAGAAACCATCTTTATTCCCAGAATTCCCATAATACCAAATAATTTTCCATTCCAATTTAAAAGAACACAATTCCCAGTATCGGTGTGTTATGCAATGACAATAAATAAGGCTCAAGGGCAGACCTTTCGTGTTGTTGGAGTAGATCTCGGTGTCAGTTGTTTTTCACATGGTCAGTTATGTCGGTCTTTCCCGGGTTAGCAGTCCTAGAATTTTTTATGTTCACGTTCCGGACGGGTTAAATTTCGACGTAGTCTACCCGGAAGCTTTGCGCTGAAGTATTTTCATTCTATATGTACTTAAGACTCATGTGAAAGCGATCTAAACAATATTACCAATACATTAACATAATAACATACAAGGAGTTACACGCTGATTGTCTCGGGGCACAGTGATAATAATAATATTCTGCGGTTCCTTATTGCGATATTTTTAACAGTATTATATTTCCCTACTAAAATACGAAAGTTAATCTGTCTGTCACATCAAAACCACAGAACCCTGAGGAAGGACATATGCTACTTTTTTACGAAAAACGACGATAACGCGGACAAAGTCGCGGGCAAAAGCTAGTTAATTTATATAAACAAAATTAAACATTGAAAAAATACAACAATTTAAAAGTTTATAGCAGAAAACGCGAAAACGTTTGATGAACACCAAAATCATGATGTTGTATATAAAATTCATAAACTCTTCCTTTGCTAGTCTAACAGAACTCCTTGTGTTTTATTCAACAAGTGGTCATTTCTTGTTCTGAATTCGACGTAACCCACGTTGAATATTTGATTTCGGCCTATAAGTTTGCCAAGCGCCTTTGGTACTCGGATGAATTTATAACGAGCACCTCTTAACTGGGGAAATTGCAAGTGGCTGGTGGTATGAAAGGTTTTGAATATTAACCGTATACGTTGAAATCTATTTCACTCGCAAACGATCTCCTTGGTCGGTCTTACTTAGGGAAAATTTCAAATAAGTAATATGTGTAATCTTTATGACTGCTGTGATCTACGTAATAGTGCAACCATTTTTTTTATGTATATGTTTTTTATCATGCAAACATTTTCATAAGCTAAATATTTGTGATATCACTGAGATACACGCCCATACCTAGATTTGATCCCATGAAGTATGGATGAAGCAAACCCCCTGCTCTTGCACCATTCGTTCTCTGGTATTTAAATCAAGTATACGTAGATAATGATCCTATAATATATGTTTGTCTTCACTCGCATAGAGATAGTACGGGATCCAAATACACACAATAACAGATTTGTTTATAAGCGCATAATTAACTGATGAAATTTCAAATACATTCTTCTATTATATTGATAGTGCCTAGTCAAGCGTAACTTGCGTGAATGGTGCGATCATTCAACGATTCTCACACTCGATAAAAATATTTATACCTCACTACCTAGTGACGTTTATTTGTTTTAGTAGTTGCCGATAATGGATAGTTCAGAAATAAAAATCTTTTTTTAAATTTCGCTGTGCTAAACTCAGAGCGATAGGTAAACGTGAAGAACAAATTACACTTTGGCTAAGGCCTCATCAGTGATAAGCTTACAGATAGGCTGGATAGTAGCTTGTAGCTAAATGGTGACCAATAGGGATGATGACAAACTTTTTTCTTTGTCTATCAGGCAGCATATCAAAGGCATTGGACACGTATTTTTCTTTATTAGCATACCTAATCAAAACATCAAAGAGATATTTTGATTTGAAATGTCTTACGTTGTCACGTCTTGGTACAATTTTAACTTAGAAGTGACGACACGAGCCGCTACTCCCAAACTTTGATGCGCTTTATATTTGTAATTTTTTGGTTGATTGACAAAA